GTAACTCCGGGGCTTCGGAGTCAAGCTCCGAAGCACCGAGTCCGGAGACGGTGCACGTAGAGTCAAAGGAGCTAAAATGACGTCATTTCCTGACTGGCGACGATTTCCGGCGCTAAAAGAGGAAAAAACAAACAATATGGCGGGATAAACTGCTTCGGTTCTGTCGCGGGTGCGCGGTTTGCTCGCTTTTGTTAATGAAAAGTGCTCTAGGTAAGACGAATAACGCGTTCGAATATCTTTTTCAGGTAAGGCTCTTTTGGAAAATGCATTGGACAGTATTTTGTTTGGTTTGAATATGCTAATAAACAACGCAAACGTTCATTTGACGCTGTGTCTTGATCACCGTTGCACGGAAACTCGGTAATTGACGATAGTCCTGTCCGCGCTCAACAGAGCAAAACAGGGTATGAACGCGACTTTGGAAGCCGGTTGGACACTCACGCAGAGCATGATACCGATTAATGTTTTGTTTGCGTAGCTAAATCGGGGTGCACGTTGGCTGAGGCTCGCTTCGGCCGACAAAACCTTGATCGCCGAGCGCGGCCGAACTTCCCGTGTGTATACGAATACATTTTATAGGAAGTTCGTTACGAAGGGCAGAACAAACTTATGGCCGTATAAAAGTATCGCAACCGGCGGGGTAGATTCGCTGAGCTCTGTATTTTGCGTGTGCTGACGACGTTTTTTGTCGGCTTTTATAACAGTAGCTGCCTTTGCACCGCCAAGCGAAGGGCTCGATCGCGTTGCATCGCTTCGAACAGCAGCGCTGATGTGTACAATCACCCGCTTGTTCTTCAACGACCTTGTAAAGACTTCTTCAATACCGGGGTCAAATAAAAGCGATCGTGCTCGCCATCGTCTGCTTCCAGTTTATTCGGAGACCGTCTGGCGCAGGGGAGGAAGCGGAAGTTGCGTAGAAGCAGGTTTGGAGCCGCGGGTTTTTTTGCCGTTCAGTAGGCGCTCCGATGACTCCAACTCGAGGCACTCCGTTCGGAGGCAAGGGAGGCGCTACTGAACGCGCCCAATGGCTGCGGGGAAAAGAGGACACCGCTTTGTTTACCCCCGAGCTCCCGCCAGGAGCCATCCTCCAATCAGAGCGCGGCGAGGTGACGTCACGCCACCGGCCTGCGCGAAAGAGCAGACGGCTTTCCCTCCGTATGTTGCGCTTTTTGCACTCCCAGGAGACTAGGGAGAGGGAAGTGACGTCAACAACGCAGCAAATGCAGATTGGATGTTGATTTTATTTTCTTCTGTCAACATCCAATCTGCATTTGCTCTAGTCGTTGACGTCACTTCCCTTTTCCAAGTCTCCTGGGAGTGCAAAAAGCGCAACATAGCACCCCGGGTTCCCGGTACCTACCGTGTTTTCAACCTGATGGACGCGTGAGACGTAGCAATACTTTTAACGCTGTGTCTAAAGCTACGTGTCGGACGTACCCGGAACGAGGAGTCTAAAGGTACGTTGGACGTATCCGGAACGAGGACTCTAAAAGTATGTCGGGCGTATCCGGAACAAGGAGCCTAAAGGTGCATCGGACGTATCCAGACCCTGAAGCCTTAAAGCTCGTTCCCAGTCTTGCAACCGAGTACGACCGAGAGAGACGAGATCTCTTAAAATTTCTTAGGACAAGAGAACACACTGGCGCCATCTATGCGGTGTCCCTGGAACTGCATTTTACAATAGCGAAGGTTTTCCGGGATTTCCGAGGTCAAATGTGTGTAATACCTAAGAGAAAGGCTTGTTTATAGCGTTGACAAAAGTTTTTCCAGCCAAGAAAGAAAGGATAATGTGCGAGCGAAATAGAAAGTATGCCGGACCGCCAAGCTTACACTGTTACCCAATAGATGGCACCAGTTTGGTTTCTCGTCGTAAGAGGTTTCAAGGAACTTGGTTCTAAGAGGTCGCAAGAGTGTGAACGGGCCTTTAAGATGCATGACGGACATGCGCTGAACCGGGAGATGCGTCGGACGTAGACGCGGTAGGGAAAGGTTGTATCACAGCGGGTCATAGCATGCCTCACTGAGACCCCACTGTCAATTTTCATTCCAGCTTTATTTCTCATTGCTACTGTAATTAGTTCATTCTATGCACTCCTTTCGTTTCACACCCGCAATGTGCAACGAGGGGGGGGGGGGGTGCTTACTTTCATGAAATGCTCCGTAATTACAACATTTGTGCAAGAAATATCAATTGATTATAGGAAATTCATAAGAAAAAAGTCACAGAACAAATAAAAATAACCCCGACGAGAATTAACCTGCTCGCCGTCAATTCTCACCGCGCACCACGGTCAACAAGTTGCTCTCAGTACGACTCAACGAGTCCTCGGTAAAGGACGTAAAAGCCGTAAAAGCTTCGGCAATGTGCCTTTTTTTTTTTTTTTTTTTTTTAATTGTGAAGAATATAGCTTTGTTCGGCGGCGCGAAAATGCCGTAAAATCAACCCACGTCAATCAAATCAGTTACGAAGACGACCCGAGGTGCGTTACCGGCGTAGTGCAGGCCAGCAATCTTACACCTTCGAGGGAAGTCGTTTATTATTATTATTATTATTATTGTACTATATTAAAAAAAGCTAGTCCAAACAGGAGAACACATGAAGAGCACAATGAAAAAAAAAAAAAGAAAAAGTCATTAAAGGTAGATATATAAGCATAAACAAAAGAACCGGATAGCGCATGGACACAGGCATACATCTGAACGCCGTTTTACCATAACATTGTTAAGGCCCGTTCACAGTCTTGCAACTTCTTAAAACTGGGTTTCTTGAATCCTCTTACGAGAAGACACACTGGCGCCATCTATTGCGTAGCAGTGTAAACTTGGCGGTCCGGCATATTTTCTATTTGTCGCGCATTATCCTATCTTTCTTGGCTCGAAAAACTTTTGTCAACGTTATAAACAAGCCTTTCTTAAAGGTATTACGCACATTTGACCTCGGAAATACCGCAAAACCTTCGCTTTTTGTTAAATGCAGTTCCAAAGTCGCCGCACAGATGGCGCCAGTGTGTTCTCTCGTCCCAAGAAATTTTAAGAGGTTTTAACAAGTCTCGTCTTTCTCAGTTGTACTCAATTGCAAGAGTGAACAGGCCTTAAGCACCGTTCAGTCTTGCAACCGAGGAAGACCGAAAGACCAGGCCGGTTTCTAAGCCTCTTGTGATCTCTTAGGACGGGATGCGTTGCAGCGGAGCTGGTCCCAAGAGATTGCAAGAGGCTTAAAAACCGGTCTGGTCTCTCTCGGTCGCAAGAGTGTGAACGGGCCTTTAAGACTACTGAAAGTTTGATCTGGATTTTACTCTCACTACTACTTGCATGCAACTACTTTATCAATATTATAGTAATAAGATATAAATATACCGCCATATTTTCAAACAATATGACCGAACAGAATATGGGTTTTACATGCTCTTGGTTGGTTTGGCCCTTTTTTTTACATCGAGGCAACTTTCCACCAGTGCTACATGTACTCACCTTATGGTTTTTATCCAGTTCTCTCAAGCTTTGGGGTATTGCGGGAATCTGAAGAAACTGCAAGAACCTTTCTTCATGGGATGGTTACAACCAGCTATGAAGCACTTTTACATAGCGCGAGTCCGCAAAAAAAAAAAACATATTTGGGATCTCAATCGGTTGCCTGAAGTGCTTTTCTCGCAGGTGCAATGCAATCTTTTAGCAGACGATCATCTCGATCGACGACCGGACTTTCAATAAACCATATTTTGCATCGCACCCCACTATGAATTCTTATAAGTGTCTGAAAGTCATTATATTTCAAACAAATACAATATCAGAATATAGTCTTTATTCACACGATTCAAACGATGGTGCCAGCTTGTGGCAGACGGCATACTTCTTGTATTCGTAGTCCGCTGCAGGCATCTTGAGGACCGGAAGTTGCAGTTGTAATTATTCCAGAAACAAGCGATTATTTGCACACTTCTGTTTAAACATACAAGCTTTCTATATCTGTGATTTTAGAAGTTTAAATCCTACTCCTGATTTTTGAACAGTCGGGTTTTCATAGCGAAACCTAGCCACATGTATTTGTCAACATCGACCCTAGCAACGGTTTGTTTGGACTCATGACGTCACACTTACGGAGTCAATTGCTGGCGTCCGTAACCAATTGGCCCATTATTTATTACTTGTTCTACAAACCCAATTTTTTAATTGTATTTTACTCGCTCAATATTTATCGTAAACATACCCAAATCGAGTGAAAATAAAGATGTGGTTTTTCCACTGGTCAAAATATGACTCATTAATTATTAAGATTGGTGATATGCGTTTGCAATGAACAATTTTATGAACCTTTTACAAATAAAGGGTGGTCCAAGCCGCCAGGCTCGACCTAAAATGGACCGTAAAAATTAACGCCTGCACGTAGCAATCTAAAGTTTTCGTCAAAGGTGTATTTCACAGGTCGGTTTTTTCTTGGAAAATTACAAAGCGTGTTCTCTCGTCCCAAGAAATTTTAAGAGGTTTTAACAAGTCTCGTCTTAGGACCAGCTCCACTGCAGCGCATCCGGTCCTAAGAGGTCCGAAAAGGCTTACAAACCAGTCTCGTCTCTTTCGGTCGTACTCGGTTGCAAGAGTGTGAACGGACCTTAACATGATTCTTTTGCCTAGACATAAAAAAAAAAATATGAAGAAAAAAATAAAGAAAGAAAAGGTGGTACTGAAAAGACAAGATATTAGTTCACATTTGAAGACGTGCCTCGATGAGGCAAGCAAGTTGTTTTATTCCTGTGCCCCATTTTGAGTTTAAAGTAAAATCTGTCACTGTGTTGATGCGTTACCATGCTGCCTCTCAAGATAGCAGAAACACTGCCACAGTTTGACTCAGTGAAACAGTTGTCCATCAAAGGTCACAGCACCCCATCACATAGCCATCCGCAACATCTCCCAAACTGTGACCATCACCGGCACAACTTTCATCAGTCTTCTGGCCCCCCCTTGCCATGTCTCTATGAACATAGCTCAAGACAAAGCACAGCGAAATGTCCCACACTTAAATGTCAACAGTAACATTGGTTCACCAAAATATAGACAGAATATAAATATTGCATGTTCGTCTCCTGGACTTGTCCCTAGAAGTCCTCTGCGCCACACACTGACGACTAATCCCAGTGACTTAGCAGGCTTGCCTCTATTGCATAGCTAGTTCGGCAGATGAACCTGTCATGAATGTTGATCACCATGGCATGACAAAACCTTCCAATAAACTTCTTGCCCCACCAGCCTTACACTGTTCACTCGCCATGGAGATCTCCGAAATGAGGCACTAGTTCCATGCCACTAAATTGCACAGCCTCGCGTTGAGCAAATCACCCCGTAGCCTTGCTGACATCTCCAAGGCCACCGGTCTCGAGGTCCAGGTACCTGCACATAATCAATAATTGCTGTAGCAAAAGGTCACAGAATCCACCAGCGGATGCTACATTTTCTTGCAATGGTCAGTGAACTGAATTACACAGGACCTTGACCTTTCCATTCCAATGGCTCCACCTCTATTCAATCACATATACTTCACTGGGTCCAGTACAAATAGCTTTATTGTTTAACACAAGATCAAGGTAAGGTTTGTTGCAAGGGCAGCCAAATGAAAACCTAATAAAAATGTTTCTCTCGATTTCGACTCCAAAAACATTTTGTCCAGATGAGCAATTTTCATCACTTGTTACCTGCTGCTCACCTGTCATACTTTGGCATTTTCAACAGATTGAAGGTGCTTCCCTCCTTGAGGGTTAGTATTAACCTATGATGAGTGTTCAGGGAAAAAAAGGCTCAGGTGGCAGGCACCAAAACGGCAGCACCCCAGGGTGGCTTAAAAGGTTATTTCAAAACAATGTACTATAGGTAAAGTTCTAGGTTTTTGGTATGACGGCAAACACTGAAAAGTAACCCTTAAAAAGTGTTTCTCAAAATCGGTGGAAAAAAGCAAATAAGAAATTCAAGTTTTTTTTTAACAAGAAAAACACCAGTTTTACAACAAACAACCTGTCTTGACATCTTCATTTCGTGTTCTCTTGAATACAGACTACACTGATCTGTTTGCAAGGCTGCTTCCTCCTTTGAAAAGTGTTTCTACGTGTGCCATTTAGCACTCCATGGGTCTTATAGATATGCTGTCACTCCTATGACACAAGCCCTGAGAAACCCTGCATGCATTACGGTCAACAGCAAAAATAGACAACGAATAACATCAAATTTGCAAGAGAAATAAACAGCAAGCCCCCCCCCCCCCCTTCCCCCCCTCTTTTTTGGGATTTAAAGAACATGGAACTTGGCTTTAAAGAACATCACTTTAAAAGTTGCAGTTACCCAATAAAAAAAGTAAGTGTTACAGTTACAAAGTACCGCTAATAAAGAGTAGCACGTTACAGTTCAAAGCTATTGGAAAAAGTAACAACTGACCAGTAATGCATTACTAGTAATCACACTCCATTTCGCATTAAGATGGAGCGCAGCTGATGCTAGAAGCCATCACGCCCGGCCAGAGTGTCATGGACATTGCGCATTGCTGCGCCAAGCCGGAAGGTCGCCCAACACACACTCAGCACAGAATTAGTTGTGCTGGCTCGTAGCATCTGCTGCAATCCACCTTAAAAGGCCCCTGAAAAGAAAAAAAAAAAGTTAGTCTTTGAACAGTCTAGTTGGGACACGCGTGTCAAAAGATGAGTTTATGCGAAAAAAATTCGTTTAGACCAATAATGACGGCACAAGACGCCATTTAGTCGGCAGTTACCTCCTTTCCACTTGTTTTCTCTTGGCGTTTCGGGCACATGGAGTAGAAATGGACCGGCTTTGCCTTCACGACCGAGATGGTTATTCCGGAATGACCCGTGACTTCATGGGCTTTGCACACAAAATTTCAAATAAACTCCCGCCGTCAATATTGCTCTAGAAAAATTTTTTTTTTTTTTTTCATAAGATTTGATTTTTGACTTGCGTGTCCCAACCAGACTGTTTAAAAAAAACTTTTCTTTTCAGGGACCCTTTAAAGGGACACTGACAGGGTATTTATGCTCGCCGAGGTTTTTAGTTTTATGTGACATATGAGAGCCGAACTAACTAGAACAAAATTTGCAGCTCGAAATTCGGTTTCTTTCCGCCCGAAAACTGCCGATCGAGTCGCGCTCACTCTCTTTTCCAAGGCAGTTTTCTAAGGTTTAGACACGACCATCAAATTTAATCAAAGTCGTGGGTCATTGAAGGCACACAGTGAATCCTAAAAGTATAAAAAAAATGAAACATTTTTTGTAACTCCCAAAAAGCTGCAAATATGTCAATTGAAAAAAAGAAAAAAAAAAAAAGTTGCACAGACAATTGGAAGCATTCTCTGCGTTCACTGCATAATTCTCAACATGGCGTCTTTTCACGTTTCGTGGGACTCGCGGATGACGGGCGTGGGACCTCTACTTCAGAACTGTCGTTCACGGTGTCGGTGCATTCTGTCTTCTCTGTAGCAAAATATTACTTAAATAGTATTCAAACGCCTGACAAAAAATTAAAAAAAAAAAATTTGTGAGGGGGGGGGGGGGGGCAGTGTCCTTTTAAGGTAAACTTGAGTATGGCTACTGCCCATGACTAAGTAAGACAGTTAAAACCAATTCTGTAAAAAATTTTCGGAGCAGCTCAAGAGGAGAACATGTACATTTTGAAGCAGCTTAGGAGCAGAAAAGTCCACATTAAAGTAAAACATGTATCGCAACAAAAACTTATTATATAAAAAAAAAAATTAAAAAAAAAATTTTTGGAGGTATTTTGGTGCAGGTTTGGGCTGTTTTGGACAATTTAAGGGTGATTTTGGGATAAGATTGACCGAAGGATGGCTGGTCAACATTTTCAAGTCAATTGATATTTTTATATGTCATTGCCTAGTGTCCGGTGTAAATAAACATGTTTATTTTTCATCAGAAAAAGAATCTGGGCGCACAAGAAATCTTCGATCACATAAAGGTAGACGGTCGCATTCACGCTCACTATTGGAGCAGGCATCTTTGAAATTAAATAACTAAAACAATAACACCAGGAGAAGACTAATACTTTTTAGAATCAGAAACAAAGAAAATTATTTAGACATGGTGGGTGTAACCATTACAAATTATTTTGTTAAAGGGACACTCAAGTGGATTCTGATACCGTCTATTGTCGTAACTCAATCTATAAGCTCTAAGCATCCTAAGAAACCCAAAATTAAATTCAAGGCTGGCCGATTTCCCTATTGAAAGTCCAATCAAAGATTGTGCCACGCCCCTCTTTCTGTGCCATGGCGCAGAACACCAGGGGGTGCCACCATGCGCGGCTTCGAAAAGTCAGTCCGCCGGAAAACCGTCACTCGTGATTTACTGTCATGTGCCTTCCCCTGCTGCCTTCCTGTCTGGTGGCACCCTCTAGTGTACTGCACCACAATGCAGAAAGAGAGGCGCGGAAAAATTTTTGATTGTACTTTTACTAGGGAAATCGGCTGCTCTTGAATGTGGTTTCAGGTTTTTTTAGGATGCTTAGAGCCTATATATTGAGTTACAACAATAAATAGACACGGCTGCTATGGTAACTGCAGTGTATTTTGCGGAATACATGTTTTGAAGCTCAGCGTCTAAATGGAGTTCCACAGCACTCTATGGAGCACACAGTTCGTAAACGAAAATCTAGATGGCACTTCGAATTTGGTTTTCACACTAAAACCTAGAAGGTGAGCAGCGAGTTGCGTGCCTGTGACACGAAGACATCAATACTGTGAACGCTGCTCTTCTGGAGCTTGATGGTCACCGTGCACGGCTCACTTTTTAGAGCACTAATGGCCAGGCAAAGCGCAAACACAATATCTTCATCACCCTCTAAAATATGTTGCCACAAACAGTGACGTGGTTGGTGTCTAAAACGCGCTCACACACCACAAAGCTTTGGAAGTTGGGGTTTCTGCAACTTTTAAATATCAGTATGCTCGTTTTTCTACCACGCATCAATATCTCCGTCACCTGTAATATGATCCTGCCCTAACTGCTTTGCATTTGTACACAAATGAGTCATTTTTAGCGCAGTGACAAGCGTGAACAAGCAGGTGCATGTGAAATCCTGGAGAATCTATCTTCGTCTCTTCTGCCATCTTGGAAGTACCGCCTTGCCACGTATGGGGCGTTGGAGTTGCAAATACGGGATATTAAGCAATGACAGAAAAATATCAATTGAATTGAAAATGTCGACCAGCCACCCCTTGATCGATCTTATTTGAAATCACCCTTAATGTTTTTGGCACAATTCAGCAACAGCCAATATGTTTTAGTTTTGTAGAAATCTTCATCACATAAATTACAAATTGGCAGAGTGTATACACCGACGTGCGGCGTGCTTTGTTTATCAACACAACGGCAAACTCGCGCATGCGCAGAAGGTATGTGGACAGAAGCGGCCGACCTGTGTTTTTGCCATTGCAGTATGTGGTCTACATTTGTTGGTGAGGCTGCACAAGGTGCCTGAATTTCATTTGTTCTTGCATTTTCTGCCAACGAACCTCATATGTGATGCTAGACTATTTGGGCTAGCTACCGGACTTTGAACGGCAGTGGTACAGACAAACTGCATTGATGGCATTGCACAGACAAACTGCGTTGATAGCGTTGCCTCTGACAATTCTAATGGGCACTTTGACAAAAAGTTGGTGTGCCACTAAAGTCAATGGCTTATGTCGTCATTTATCTGGCGCCTTCAACAAGCTAGTACACAGCTGGCATGATTCAGTCATACAAGTCTCTTGATCTGTAAAAATACAGCACGAGTATAAATGCGCATAACCCTTTGAAAGAACCGCATAAATTGCTACCTTGACCTATCGTGCTACGATTTACTACAGAATTGATCTAGATGGTGCAGCTCAACCTAAAAGTTTGAGCCCCCCCACAGCTAAGGAAACAACACTTTTTATGGGTGATTGCCCACTCCTTTTGGTGCAATATCATCAAACAGCCTTTTGGGCCACCGTGGCATTTATTACGACTGAAAAAATGAGGGAATGGGAAGGAAGTAAACTTGGCTTATGTATTATCTGTCTCCCTTTGCCAAAATAGACAGTGGCCTAAAATGTAATTTGGTTTTCACACGTAAACTATTTTTTTTTTCTCTTACTAAAGTGAGCTCTGTTCATTAATATAGCTAGAAATGGCCAATTTTATTGAAAAAAAAAAAAAAGGTTTATGTGCAGGCAAGCTGACGGTTGACACTGTGGTCAAAAAAGGGGAAAAAAAAATTAGAAGAGATAGAAAAAAAGGGACAGACAATGTCACAATTATATTCCACCTGTGTGCTAAATTACATTGGTCCGAGCTGTGCACATTATTAGTTTGTACAAATATCACCAATGACGAGTCACATTCGTCCACCCTCATGCTGTGCTGCTCTCTGCGTCAAAAACAAGTTACGTTCAAAAATTGGTTTCGGTTTCTATTTTCAACCTAAAAAGGTGCTAGAAAAAAAAAAGCGTTTTGCACTTTTGCAATGTGTTTAGCCTGACAGCAGTTGTTGGCCTGGCAACATGAATTTAAAATGGCGACACGCATGAGGAATGCTAATGGCGGTGATGGTTCCCAGAAAAAGAGCTGTTCCTAGCAGCAGTTCGGACGGCAGCGATGCTGAAGATCCCGAATTTGTCTTCAGAGTGAGTCTCACATTGCCTGTGAAGACAAGACGGCCTCAGACGACGACGAGAGTGACCATGAGAACGTGCTTCTGAAGACTTCAGATAAAGTAGGTCGACTCCTTTCACAAGAGGTAGAAAAAGTTTGCGGGAAAACGCATAGGAATCCTGCCACTGAATGTCAATATGGTAGTGTTTATAATATTCCTTTGGCACCTGGGTTTTCATACATAGTTTAAACTGGATGTTATGTTAATGAGCAAATCATAGAGCACAAAAGGTGTGTTCTCCTGCAATCCCCAAATTCAGAAACTGTAGTACATTTACAAGTTTGCAACAGTTGTCATCCGAATTGGATGGCCACCACGGTGATAAGCCGAGCGAGATCAGTTCAAACGCGCGGTAGAAGAAACTCTTAGTATTGGTTCTGCTGGTAATTGTGTAAGTGTCTCGTCTATGGTGATTCACAAGCAAGTACAAACTTTTTGACCAATGCAATTTTTTTTTTTGTCAGTTGCTTGACCTTGGCACGTATGGATGCGTCGAGTGCATTTCTTTTGTTTGCTCTTGCTGACAGTCTGGGTGTGTGACTTGGTGTGAGGGTTCTTGGCGTTGACTGTGGTGTACCGTTATAAAAGGTGTGGTTTTAGAATCGGGGGTGGAACTCATGGAATTTACTTGGGAGCAGCCACGGGAGCAGCTGAAACAGCTGTTTTGGAGCAGGTTGGGAGCAGCTAAAACTACGTTCTGGAGCAGGCTAGGAGCAGCTCAAATCAGTTTTCATTGCACTTCAGCTTGTGTCTTAGGCAAGCACGGGGAGCAATTTCAATTGTGCTCAGCAGCACAGATGAACATGAGTGGTTAGGAACCTAGGTAGATCGGATAAAAGTGTAAGAGATGCAAAAACTGGAAACTTTGTGAGCCTTAATGAGAACCAAAAAGCAAGTACCATATGTTTCTGAAGATAGTGTCGTTGATATTTTCTGAGTGACTTTCAGCTGCTCAAAATGAGAACCAGCACTGCTTATCGCACAACCCACACGTGCTCAACATAGTAATTATATGTGCGAACCAGGTGACGTGCGTAAGCAACGGACGTGCAGTTGCGCGGAGGAACAGGGCAACAAATTTCGAGTTTATCCTATATTGCAACTCAATATCGAAGTAGCAGACTACGATTACGGAGTTATCTTATTCGAAGCGATAAGCAGGAGCAAGGTTAAATAAAGTACGTCAAGCAGATCTACCGCTCGCGTTGGAGCGGCTGGCCGGCAAGGTTTCGGATCGGGCCGCGTTTCAGTTCTATCAAATCCCGATTTATCTTGCGCAAATGCGGTTCCAACTTCTAACGATAAAGTACTAAAAGGAATCTTCTGCTCATTCGTTTTCAGCTGGCTGACGTCTAGATCCCGGGCTGCAGAGCCTCAGGCAATCTGACGCTTAACGACTCGACCTCACCTCGGGTGACTTGTTTATTAACCGCTTATGGTTGAAGAATAACAATCCAGTCGCAGGTGGTGTAGTGCTTAGAATCCGACCCCCGAGTTTTTTCGCGCGCTTCCGACTCGGGATACACAGGGAGAATAAACATAACAAATGATTGCAAGACCGACTAAGCTAAACACGCTCATTGTTGCCAATCGAGTCGATAGAAACCGAAACCAAGACACAATAGTATTTTTTGCCGCACGTTTTGCGATTTGGCGCATAATGGCGCAAGGTATTGGCTGTGGCGCAGTTTCCGCAACATGGCGCAGGATGGTGCAGACAAATGCGTCTGGCGCAAAATGGCGCAAATGGCGTAGCCGTTCCACCCCTGAGAATAAACCTTCAGCTGTGTTCGAGACGGTGTGTGTGTGTGTGTCATCCTTTTTTTCGTGTCCTTTTTCCTTCTGGTGTTTCAGTTTTTCGTCTGCAATTCACCAGCTTGCTTTTACTTTTACTCTCCTCTGAGTTATCGCTTTTTAGAATGCTGGCAATTGAATCTCACCTAGCCCGTTACAAACTATCCCGTGCACACAGGGATGACTTACATGATTATGCTTCCTGTAGCAGATCCTCATGCTTGTGGTCGCCAGTGGTCACTCCCTCTTGGCTCACAAAACAATGAAACAGTGATTATAGGCACTTATTAGCAAGAAAACGATTATATCCTAAAGCATATAAGTCACATACTAAAATAATTTGGTATGTCGCGGGAACTGCAACTTTCACATTCCCGTGCAGCAGTATGCAAAATAAAAAATAAGCATGTAACAGGCAACTTGAGGTATTATGGTTACTCATTAACTTAGAGGTAACCTGTCTGCATAAATTTGAAATTAAATTGGCAAGCTCTGGCCATTAAAACTTTTCGAATTAAGACCAGCTGATAACATAAGCCACCTGTTGGAGAATGGCGAGCTCGAGCACCTCTTGACATTCTCCAAAGCGGAAAAAGCTGCACATTCTCGTGCAGTAATACTATCTAAAAAAAAGTGCCGGTTTCAGCGAGGGGCACGCTTATAAACGAGCATTTAGAGGCACTATGGTTGCCCGTTAATTTAGAGACAACCGTTCCGGATCAACTGAAATAAAATTGCCAATCCCTGGTTGTTAAAAAAGCGTTACGATTAAGGTCAGCATATAATGCCTCGCCTAACGTAACCTGTTGGAAGATGGTAAGAGATGCCCCTCTTGCCTTTAGCTCGAGCCTCTCGTGACATTCTCCAAAGTGGAAAGAAATCCAAGCTGTCGAACACGCCATTCCTTTTTGCAAGAAGAATACTGCCCCTTTTTTGTAGTCCAATTGTCACGACTACTGATTTGCAAAGTAGTCATGCTCCTTGAGGGCCAGCACAGACATGCTCGGAACATCCACATGGAGCTGAGCGGATGCTGCTCCTTCTGTAGGAACTCACCTGGCTACAAGGCCCTGCATGATGTGCTGCTGCTCCAAGCTGGTGGGAGGTTTGCCATGCATGGGACCAGAACCAGGGCGTCTTTTGGGGGGGAAAGTACCGTGGTTGTTTTTCCATCTTTTTTTTGTGAGGGATTACCCTAGGTTTTGGAGAAGTCTCATCTGGAACAGAGTCAAGTACTTCTTGGGCCTTGGTACGGTATTTCAACACCAGGGAGCTTGAAGAGCTTGTCAATTTCTTCCTGGAGAGGGACTTGTTCAGTCCACTTATTGTTAAACATATGTTGTCCTTTGAATTTGGTTGAGTCTTCTCCATCCCTACCTCAATACCCTGCCGAATGTCATCCAAGAGGGACTGTGGCTCATCATCTAACGTAAAGCCTGTTGCTTCACGTGTTGTTGATGGCATTTCTACACCTGGCTCAGTGTCGGCCTCCTCCACGGTCGTCACATGAATCCCCAGGTAAGCTACTGCGTGAATATGCTTGCACATTGATGATGAAATCAGGCTGTCATTGCAAGTGCACTTGTAACTGTCGATAAAGATATCACAGTCCCTGCAACGAAGCACGCAACTCTGGCGGGGGTCGCCCTTCTCAACATGGTAGCTTCTCTCTGTCTGGGACTGAGACTTTACAAGTCAGCCATTGCCATTTTGCAGCTGTTCTACATCTGATGCTGGAATTTTCATCCCCTCCTGGTGCCTCCGAAAAAGGGCTGCATCATGCCGATTCGTTTTTCCTTTTACGAGCGACTTGGGACGCTTGTAGAGCCGGTCACGGCTCAGTTCGAAGAGGATCATCAACAGCTTGTCAAGCCTCTGGTTGTGAGTTCCATGCATTAGCGTGACTTCAGGTCCTTGTACATTGCCTCCAAGTGGTTGGTAGTATTAAAAGGAATGCCCTTTCTGAAGCAGAGCGCCCACTGTTAGGCTCTGCCACCATGGTAGTGCCCAAAGTACTGAAGAAACTCCTGTACTTGTTGAATTAGTTTTGGATCAGCCTCTTCACTTAGTTTCTGACACGGGAAGCCTGTCGGAGGTCGTTGGAATTGACCCTCATCTTTGCAATTTCTCAGCGCCCACAACTCGTCGCAAAGACGGTCACGGGTTTGCTTATATCTTGGACTGACTGCAACTTCAGAGCCCAGTCGTGGCTTACATGCCACGAGCAGAGCATCCAATGTTGGGCACAGCCCATCACTTCCTCCCATGCATTACCTTTATGGCCTTAAGGAGTGTTTCATAGCCTTGGTGTCTAGTTACTTTGAGATCAAATATGTGCATGGCATGCCTGACTGATCTTCTGCAGCTGTCATGAGTCTTCAGTTGCAGATTGTGGCCATTTATATTATGAGTGTAGTCAATGCACAGAAACTTGGGGCCAAGCTTTGTGAGGCGTTCTTTCTGAGGGACAGTCATCAGGGCAAGCTCAAAGCTCTCTTTTTGTTTTCCTTCCTCCATGTCAGTACAGGACTGGGGAATCTGACTTTGTTCAGTGCCGTAGCTCTTTCGTCAAAATTTCATGGTTGGCGGAGATGTTGCCAATGTCTTTCATTGAGAGCAAATGTAGCCTGCCCATCTCACTGCCAGCAGAAGAATGTGCGTCTACCAGATCTTTACGGGCGGGGATGCCTTGCTTTAGTTTATCAGCTAAAGCCTCCTTCTCAGTCGTAAAGAGGCGCTGGTGCTTCAGTTCCTTCGGGTGGCCGTAGTGTTCTGCCTGGTACTCTACTGTCACCTTGCCATCTTTCTCTGTAGCTTGAATTGTGGCTAAGCATTGCACATTAGTCTTACAAGTGCCCTGGGTTCTCAGTTGTCATTTACCTCTTGCTCTGAAATGATCCAGAGCGGTGGCAGTAGTAATACCTTTTCAGGACACCCTCATCTCGTCCCTTGGGTCCGTCGTGGAGAATGAAGCGAACATGCTCTCTGCCATCCTTAGCCTCCCTCCAGTCGCTGAATTCTGGCAGGCAGAGAAGAAAGAAAGCTTAAAATGAAATGGCCTGAATTAAGAGTGGTATGTCAGTCACATCATATACCCCCTGCTTTAAAACATCTTCATGTTTGTTTCACTAAATGTACATCCCAATCAGACTTTTAGCTGTAGCATGCAGTCCATGGTTTTTTTGTGCTCCCAATGCCCACATAGTAGGTGCACTCCTAAACACTACGGTCTGCAAGAACAGGTTCACTGCACCCCACATGTGTAGTGTTTGCAAGTGCACCTGCTATGTGAGTGACGAAAGGACAAAAAAAAAAAAAATATGTTTTGCATATTCATAAGTTCAATGCAAGTGCGCACTACAATGGAGAGGGAGCACAAGTTTCTTTGGCTCCATGTCGATCGCGCATCTTTCACAGAACATTTTAAATCTACGGTTAACCAAACACTAAGAATTTTATTCGCGAATCGATTCATCCGAGAGCTTACTATTTTATTTGTATTCCGATATTAAAGTATTCATACACCCCTAGAAAAGAGTCAAGTCTCATTATAGTGGCAGTCACAAGAGCAGCTGAAAAACCCCAGTGTGTTGGTACCATGTAAACTGTAGACGTGAGATATATGCTTACCATAAAATTCTGAGAGATGCCCCAGCCTCGAAAGGTAAGCCACCCCAGTTTTTGGCTTCATTTGCTTTTTTTTCTTTTTAGTTAACTATTGGGGAGATAACGTGTCTAGTTATTGTGTCGAGTTAGCTATGGCAAGATATAATGAACCATTGCCGACTGGCAAGTAGAGCCATTATTGCTTCACACTGCAAGTGAGCCCACTCCTTAATTTGAGCCATTTTTTAAAATTCATCTTAGGTGGTCTATCTCTCGGGATATTAGAGTAACACTATGACCCCTCTGCTTCACTCCCCAGGTAGCCATACTCCCATCATACATACCTGTGGCAACGGCCAAAGCCGCTACAATCAGGTGTGCTAGGTTTGTGCTTAAGCTTATGTGCTTAAGCTTACACTGAGCAGCCGAGCAGATAGAGCTCCGCGGCTCGTGCGCATGAACTCGTGCCTTGCGCCCGTGGCTAGAACGTACCCGGCTCTGCGCCGATCGTCATATTAAACCTCTTCTTCTACCTTGCTATCGTGTCACCTTTCCTGACGCAACTTGCAACATGGTGTCAGAAGTGGGTTGCGGAAGTCGTTGAGAGCGGAGATGCTCAAGAGCCACGTATAGAATGTGAAGGCAATCTTCATTCACAGACGAGAAGTGGCCGATGCGTCAAGGCTCCCCTGAGACTTTGACTCTTCTGTATGGGGGAGATGTTGGCTACACTGAGCAGCCGAGCAGATAGAGCTCCGCGGCTCGTGCACATGAAATCGTGCCTTGCGCCCGTGGCTAGCACGTACCTGGCTCTGAGCCGATCGCCAAATTAAACCTCTTGTTCTACCTTGCTATCGTGTCACCGTTCCCTGGTGCAACTTGCAACACGACTTGCAACACTATCCACAAGCTTTAGCGTCAATGCACGAGAACAAGTGTTGGCTCGAGGAATAAAAATTGACATTCTATTTTATCTTAAAAAGGGCTCGGACATTCATTCAACTCTTTCTCGACCTAACGTAACGAGAAAGTATGTTACCGCACAAACAATTCAGTGCTAAATGAATTGCATGTGGTAAAATACTCCTTCAGGACGTTATAAGGTATATACACTGGAAGTATGGCTATTCCCATGCACAGGTGTGCTTTAGGAGGCGATCCTGTTGATGTCCTGATGTGAAAGTCATGCTTGTAAAGTAACATGGCTTAAAGAAAGCTGAAGTGGTTTCTAAAAATATAGTTGGAGGTCAATTCTTGCCTGGTTTTACCCCATGAATCCAAATATGACAATTATTTGGTGCAAAATTGTTGGCAAATGCAAGATATCCATGTTTCACATTCACCGTTTATGACGTCAAATATGGGTTTTCGGCTACACAGCGCATGCCACTCCATAAAGGGTCCCTTTCAGTTCATCGAAACTCGCTTCATAAAATTATGTTTCGTGGACAACTTTTCATGAACACACGTTTCGTCAACACAATCGTTTCATTGATGCTTGTTATGCGAATTGCACGCTGTAGGGACATTTCGTCTTGCGTGTATCACCGGGGTATGCATTAACCCACCCACCCGCCTGCCTGCCTGCCTGCCTGCGTTCACGCTGCTTCGCGGCGGCTCATTACAAAAAATGTTAACCCACCTTACCGACACTGCACGAGACTGTCGCAGTGACAGTCTCATGCAGCTTATTACAGAAAAAAAGGTAATCTGAGCTGTCGATGAAACGTCATGCAATGAACTGATTGCCGCTTCTCCAGGAGTTCTCTGAGTTGCATAGCTTTGATCAGTGCAGTTGGTGCGCAAGCTTTTTGAGGACCGTGCACCTGCAGAACAAAAGAGCTCTGTATACGACGTCACAAACTACCACTTTGAAAGCACTTTTCAGAGGGGAACGAAAGAATAAACTCTTACCGCACAGCAAGTTTTAAAGGGATACTTCAACGAAATTTGAAATATTCCCGTCGTGTTCAAAAATAGGTTGAATATGATCCACAATATCTGTAAATGACAATCGCACGTTTGTATTTTGAGCCTGGTGGCTATATTTTTCGTTATAAACGGCCCACTCTGGCAAGCGCTGGGAGAAGGCCCAGCGGAGACCACGTGACATCCAACGCAATCGTGACGTAGGTCGTCTCAAGACGATCAAAGCTACGGCGAGGCTGACGTCGAGAGGATGGCCTAGTCGTTCCAGCCACCGAAGCGGCTGCTTTTGTAGGAATTTTGAGTGACGGGTTAATCTTCTGTAATCTTGAAGGGGGACAATAGCGACTTCTGCGACACACAAAAGGCATTCTCGGGAAGAGGGGAGTTCCTCCTGCCCCTCTTCTCTCGTCGTGGCCGGAAGCGAGACGACCTCCGTCACTAGCTGTCAAGGTTCCTAGACGGGCATTACAAGCGAGGCGTTAGCGACATCCACCAGGTGCTCTTTGCTAATCGTTTAATTCGTTTTAAAATTCCTTTTTGAGACTTTTTTAACAAGATATTGGTATGTTCTATGTGATACTGCTCTTTTGAACACATATAGACCAAAAAAATGAGCGCCGAAATTTCGTTGTAGAATCCCTTTAAGCATCTCGAAAACAATTTGCACAAAAGACGAGAGAGAGACAGGACAAGTGGCACTATCGAAAAGAATGTGTCACTCTGAGATTCAAAGAAAGGCATTGTTGCATTTTGATGCTCTAGAAAGATGAACAACCCTCTAGAAGAGAAAAGGAAAGAAAAAAAAAAATTAACAAACCGACTTTCTTCTCGTACTTCTCTTAGCACGCATTAAACAGTCAGTCGATACTAGATGGTAACGCTTGTTGCCATTTCTGTTCTTATCCTCTTCTTTTGCAATGTTTTCGAGATGACCAAACTGGCCCAACAATACACTTTTAATTAATTTCCGATACGACAACATATGCTGGGATTTCATGTGGCAGCTCGTGCTATTAGAGGACGAGTGTATTCCCTTTGTGCAATCGCAATAGTCACCATTGGTGCGGATGCAAATTTGTGGTAATGAATTGTCGTCTCTTTTCAGATTTTTTAGTCTTTAAACGAGAGCTTGAATTATATCCTTTCAGCTCTAGGCCCACACCGTATTTTGTAACAGTGGTAGGCATTGTTATTGATCTTTCTTCTGTACAAAAGGTAGAAAACTAAGCGAGCGCACTTACCTTTCAACAAATTGAACTTTAACTTGTCACGCCTCGCGACGATCCCGTGTTTCGCTTCAAAGTGGCGCAGCAAGTCCCCAATGGAATGCAAAAGCCGTTGGACACAGATCGCATGCAAGGCGGCAGCGGACAGTGTGATCCAGCTGGTGTCAGCGTCCCCGTGAACCTCCTTTAGGTGCCTCTTTAAGTTGTAGATTTTCTTGAAGCACATCTCACAAATCATGCACTTGTACTTATGCCGTGTACTAGTCGCCGTTGTCACAGTGCGACGATGTTTCTTCGCTGTCCACAGAGGTGAGTGCGCGTCGTCGGCTTTGGGAGCGTCGTCTTCCGAGCACCGCTTTGCGAGCTCGTCGGGTCGCTGGGATTGCGAGGCCACGCAGTGCTACTCCGTCCGTTTTGCCATTACTCCCGTTGAAACGGTTCAAACCTGTGGTGCCTGTGGTTCAAACGGTTCAAACACGCCGCTCCGGCAACCTGAGCACCTGAGAACCGTTGAAAACAGCGAGGCCAGGATGGCGCCAGTGGGCAAGTCAATCATGATATAGGATAGTCGAGAAATAAACCAGTTAGCTGAGTTTGAGACGTCCCTTTTTGTGTCTGATCCTTCTATTAAAAAGTTTCCAATTTCTTCGACCACAGTCTCAGGTGTTATATGACATGATTATCATCATCATCACTACCATCCGAACGGATTCCCTACGAGCGGTTTTCCCTACGCTGGCGTTGTCCCCAGATCTAGGCACGGGCAGATCTCTGGATAGGCGCTCGCGCCCCGGAGGCGTCTGGACCAACGTTATTAGAGCCCCTCAGTTGAGAAAATGCCACAGAGTCTGCACTGAAAAAGTGTCACCGATCCGTACTCGAGTACCGAGCTAATGGTGATCGCAAAGCTGCCATTTTTCCCGCAGCGGCTACTCGGGGAACTGCACGGCTGCATGCTTTGGTTCGGGAGTATCGCATTCGGTAGCGTCCGGTGGCCGTTCCATTTTGGCTTTAATCGGCCGTTTTGGAGCCGAGACATAAACGGTAGAAGGGGATGCCAACTCCCGTCTCCCAAACGGACGCGCTGCGAATTACTACCAAAGCTGGGACGCGCCCAGCTCGGGACGCGCTACCTGAAATCACAGGTAAGACATGGTTGTATAAAAACAATATTGATTGCGCCGAAAAACCTTGTAAACTAAAAATTTGAGAAAACATCACGCGCCTGTTATTTTGTACTAAGCTTCAATAAAAGTTTCTACAAAAAAAAGCTCTTTTAGAGCGCAGCTCTTAGGCGCCCGTTTCCGGCTTGAGCGGCGTCGCCGTCGGCGTAACCAAGGTCACCCCAAGTTCGCGTGACCCCCCAGGCCACCCCAAGGTCATGTGACCCCTCCCAAGTCACGTGACCCCTCAAGGTCACGTGACCCCCGAGTTCATGTGACCCCTTCCAAGGTCACGTGACCTCCAAGGTGACGCCCACGTGACCCCCCCCCCCAAGGTCACGTGACCCCCGAGGTCACGTGGCGCCCCTCTTCGAGGTCACGTGACCCCCCCCCCCCCCCGGAAGTCACGCGAAACCCCCCCCATACCGAGGTCACGTGACCCCCTCCCCCCGAGGTCAGGTGACCCCCCGGAGCATATTAAAGAATGAGGGGAGGAGGAGGAGAAGGAGGGGTCTACCTTCCCCTCAGTACCCTTCCCTCCTCATCCTCAAGAGCTGCGCTCCAACTCGGCGTTACAGGGAGTTGTAAACGGCTTTCACTTTTTCGTTTCTTTTTACGAAAAACATGCTTCAGGTGGCCAAAGTAAAAAAAAAAAAGATTGAGCCGCCATCTTGGTACCTCGAGCCTGGGATTTTTTCTACTCTCAGAACATACAGTGGCTCTAGCAGTAGCCATATAATGGCACGTTTACACTTGCGGATCCGCCAGCGAATCCGCCCAGATTTTGCCGCTGGGGCGAAACGCTGGGCGGAAAACGCGGCGGCAAGCCGTATAGGCCCGGGATCTATTTCTGCCGCCGAACGAGGCGTTTCGCTGACCGGAAGCGACATTCTTGCGCAGCGCGAGGCTGCCTACGTCATGAGTAGGTGTTCTTCCGGGAGCAGCAACGTCCGGGAGAGACAGCCGAGGTGGGAACTCTCGTGCCTTCTCGTCATATTTGACGGGATGTTACGAGAACAGCTGCCGCAGCCGGCGCCGCCGCCGCCGCTCGAAGGAAATAGATGTAAACGCAACCCGCTCGTCGCCGCCGCCGCGGGGACCGGATCCGCTCCCGCGGCAGCGGATTTCTTCTCAGGTGTAAACGTACAGAGCGCGACACTGTTAGCGCGAACAAGCGATCGCCGGTTTTTCCAGTTTTTCTCTCTGAAACCAAGGGATGTCATCCAAGTTATTATTGCTACGGAAAGAGCTCATTTAGTTCTATAACGTAAGTGATAAAATTTCGTGCTCGCTAATATTATTTAGAAGTAAAATGCGAAAATGCGCCGATGTCGTGTTCGCGCTAACAGTGTCGCGATGTGTACCATAAGGCAACTTTAATGTTTCAACTCTTCGCTAAAGCTTGGCGCTGCTATCGTATTTAGCTCGGTCTCAGTGGACGCCAGCGGCCCAGGTTTCAACGGTGAGTTTCCCAACTGAGGGCCGGTTGCACCAACGCCGCCTACCTTAACCCAAAGTGGCTCTTTCCTAAGTCCGCTTAGCGCCCTAAACCGAGCTCGGATAAGCACGGGTTTAAATTCCGGTTGCACCAACGTCAACCCGGCTTTACATACGCGCCCCTAGCTAAACGCTGGATTTGCCTAGGGAATGGAGGGACAAACAGAGCGAACTAGGGAACGCTCAGAGGGACGAATACGATTGGCGGAGAGGAATCTCGTAATGTAAACAAAAAACCTGCTGTAGTCGGCGTCTACTTTTCGCGGTATTTCTTCGGTGAGTAAGGAACTAAAGGTTTCCATATTCAATCATTTTTTCGCTTAACTTTCAAAAACAGGAGTCAACGGTTTAAATAAACATGAATGCTCTTCCCATCTGTGATTGTGTGTTTAATATCGGTCGATAACAGAATATTTTGACAGTGACAGTAGTTTTCGTGCTCACATTTTGAAAAAAAAGGGAGCCATCGGGGGCCCCAAATCTAACCGAACGCGAGAAGGACGCTCTACTCGCTACATCGCTGAAGACAAACATAATCGAGAATAAGTAGGCAGGTAAGATGACTACTAAAATCAAGTCATGCCTGAGACCGATGAAGTTCAAAACAGTGACGAACTCGCCACGGCAGCTGCAAAAATGCCGGGAAATCGTCGAATATAAGTCGTCGAGTTGTCGTCTCCACAAATAGAAGTTGTCGTCGCCATGAATGAAAGCTACAAAGCAAAATATTCCTAAAAAAAACGCGATCACCAGAAAAGTTAGGGTTATCGAACGATACAGTTTTCTGAAGCCAAGATTCTACTCTCAAGACAAGAAAAATTCCCCGAAGATTGTCTCGAAACTCAGAAAACGAAAGAAATTGACTTTT